CTCAGGAGAAAGCTGGGGCATCAGTAGGGAGGTGGCCTCCTAAGGCCTCTGGACCCATTTGTTTAAATGCTTCCAGAGGGTTTGGACAGAAATGAAAGGTTAATTGGCAAAAATCCAGAGCCAGCCAGTGAGGCAGTGTCCCCAGAAAAAGGTTAAAAACATTTCTCCCACTACACTTTTACCCTCTGATCTTTATTCCTTAATCCTTCCTCCACTCTACCACCAGTTAGTTTTTAAACATATATTTCACCGTGCACCTTCTCTGATTAATAAAAGCCTCAGAGTTTTTACAAAACAAATGAAAAACTCTTGGGCATGGTGTCAAGGCCTTCCATAGTTGGTAGCCTATCAGCTCATCTTCATACCCTCCCGTCCCTTCCTCTCCCTTCCCCTCCTCTCCCCTCCCCTCCCCTCCCCTTCTGTCCCCTCCCTTCCCATCTAAGGCTGTAGCTGCAACAGGTTACTACTGGCTGTTATGAAAGGATGGCTTCTATGTCCATGCCTCTATGCCTTTGATCATGCTAGTTTTCCTTGTTAGGTGCCATTTCCCCCTCCTGTGCCCAATCATGAACCTCCTGCTGTCCTTCAAGTCCTACACTAAGTGCTGTTTTCCCCTGTGTCCATCCCTAATTTTCTGCCATTACCCTGGCAGAATCAATCTCTCTTGGCCAGGTTCCAAAAACATTTCATACATATCTCTGATAATGTCATATTGTAGATAACCTATTTTTATTTCTGTCTTTCCTACTAAACCAGAAATGCCCTGCAGGTAGGGACTGCCTTTTTCATGTTTGTATCCCTAACACCTAGTTTCATACCTAGTCCAAACAGGAGCTTAATACACTTTTGTTGAATGGAATTACTTACGAAGAGTTTTTATGACTCATTTAAAATTAGAGACCAATGCTTATTTAGTAAGTCAGAATAGGCTATAATAATAGTAGTAATAACAAAGTCCCATTTCCACTGCTTATTCAAGTAACTGCTTCCTTTGTGGAAGTGGATTTTGAAAATCTTCACATGTCACTGTATTTTTTGATGTGTTTTCTTGAGATCCTGAAAGAATTACAGTTCTAATGCAGACTAGAGCCTTTATGACATTCCTATTGGTGTCCTGTTGAATAGCTTCTATCATTTCAGAGATCTGTATGATATACAGTAGTTCCATGGATATACATTTTATTTCTTTCAGACTTCATGGTAATATTTTGTGAATTGTTTATAAAGTCTGAGTCCATTTAACTCAAACCACATTAAATTGAGCATTTTCCACATATGAAAACAGAGTTACGGAGTTAAGACTCTAGTACGTACAGTCCCCAACTTACGATGGTTTGACTTAATGGTTTTTTTGACTTTATGATGGTGTAGAGGTGATATACATTCAATAGAAACCATACTGCAAATTTTGGATTTTGGTCTTTTCCTGGGCTAGAGATGGGCAGCACAATATTCTCTTACGATTCTGGGCAGCAGCATCCATGGTTCCCAGTTGGCTATGCTATATCAAGGGCTGTCTTCAGCGTACAATGGGTTTATCAGGAGGTAACCTCATCATAAGTTGAGGAAGATCTAAATATATATATTAATATAGTTTCATTCTGCTAAATTTGCAAGGTCCCAGTCACCATAAATATTTTATTAGGTATTTAAAATTAGTTCAGTAGGGCAGCCCGGGTGGCTCAGCGGTTTGGTGCCGCCTTCAGTGCAGGGCGTGATCCTGGAGACCGGGGATCGAGTCCCACATCCGGCTCCCTGCATGGAGCCTGCTTCTCCCTCTGCTTGTGTCTCTGCCTCTCTTATCTGTCTCTCATGAATAAATAAATAAAATCTAAAAAAGGGCACCCCCGGTGGCGCAGCGGTTTAGCGCCGCCTGCAGCCCCGGGGTCTGATCCTGGAGACTCAGAATCAAGTCCCGCGTCAGGCTCCCTGCATGGAGCCTGCTTCTCCCTCTGCCTGTGTCTCTGCCTCTCAGTCTCTCTCTCTCTCTGAATAAATAAATTAAAAAAGAATAAATAAAATCTAAAAAATAAAAAAATAAAAAAAATAAATTAGTTCAATTATGAAAGTAAACACTTCATAAATTAAGAGCTTCAAATGATTTTTTAAAATGGTCTTCTTTCCCTCATTTTCTTTGAGGAAAGGAGTCAACAACAATTTACTTATTCAGTCATTTATGGAGTACATATTATGTGCTAGGCATTATGGTGGATATTTGCAATTCCAGATTGATGAGATAGCACCTGCCTTTGAATAGTTCATGGTCTACTGGAGAAGGTATATAAACAAATAATTGCAACTTACCTTGGAGAAGAGTAAGGAAACTCTTTTGAGAACCCATGGTGAAGTTGAGAATGGATGTCTACAGATGAATTTGTGGATAAAGAAGCAGTGAGCTGAAGGGAGTTCGTACTTGATTTTTTTTTTAATATGTGAAGTAGGAATCTAGATCTTTTCTATGCATTAAGTGCATGAGATATTGCTTGAGAAGAGAAGAAGAGTGAAGATCTGGATAACTAATGTGGAGACTGAGAGGTGGACTAACAGAAACCAGTAAAGGCATGCAGTATTGAGAAACAGTGAGTGTGGAACTGAAATTGGATAACATGAAACTGTGAGAATCCCAGTCAGGACAGTGGTGTGATTTTCTCTGGCTGTGCTCTGTGACCAACATGAAGGTGCAGTAAAAGTCATACTGTGTTTAGGCCTGTGGGAGGAGTAGAACAGAACTGTAAGAAGGACAAGGAGTTGAAAACCCCTGAAAGAAAGTATAGCTTTTTTTTTTTAAGCATTTATTCATAAGAGACACACACAGAGAGAGAGAGGTAGAGAGAGAAGCAGGCTCCTTGCCAGGAACCTCATGTGGGACTCCATCCCGTATCGCGCCCTGAGCCAAAGGCAGATGCTCAACCGCTGAGCCACCCAGGCGTTCTGAAAGTATAGCTTAATGTGGAAGGAAGTACTGTTAGGAGGATATTGATAAACTTGGAGAAAGTTAGAGGATGAGGATAAGGCCTGGTACTTTGTAGGTCCTCAGCAAGTCTTCATTTCTCTTTTCTGGCTTCCCTTTCCCAGGCCTTGTTTTACCACTGCCATGACCACCTGCCTCTGCTGTGGTTTATATGAATAATTTCAAATCATGATGATAGCAGTTGGCTTGGAGGGTAAGATTAGTGGCCAGGCTCCAAAGTCTTCATTAAAAGCCCCAATGGTTTGGATGCTGGCAGTGCCTCATGATATTGACTTCTAGGGGAAGCTCAGGCCTTACCCCTTATCTCACTACTACTTGTGCTCCAAGGGTGGATCAAGGGCAAAGACATTTTATTTAGCCATGTTTCTCAGGCCAGGAATTTACTCTGTGATGAGAAGAGTTAAGACTCTAAGCCTTTAAGGGTTTCCACTAAGTTTCCCCTGTCTCTACAAATCTAACCATAAAACAGATCTCATTTCTTTAAAGGATTTAAAAGGGAGTCTTTTTTTGACATATGGAAGCAATGACCATACTGGCAACCCAAAGGGTCTTCCTACTCAGAATCTAAAATATATAGTAGAGTTGGTTGTACCTTGTGATTTCTTTTTTGTGAGTTATTAAATATATTGTCATAATTTTTTAAATGATTTTTAAGACTTTCATTCCAAATAAAGACAAACTATTATTTGTGGAAACATACTGTTTATATTTCATTTTTAGAAATGTTCTTTTTCACCTGTACTTTTGAGCAAAACACTGAAAACTAATAAATCGTTATTTCACAAAGTGCTTTTTTTGGTGTAGTAAAAGGAAAAAACTCAAAAGATTCACACATCCTGAGTGTGAGACTGCTAGAAAGGTGAGAGTTCCTAAAGTTAGTAAACTGAAACCATAGGTCCTTGAAATCTTAGAAATGGAGTAAATGCTCAAGAAGAGTTGGTTAAAAAAATCCTGGGGAGTCTAAATCACCAGTCTTATTCTTTCCCTTTTGTTACTGACACCTTTTAAGGCATTTAGTAATGCTTACCTAGGAAAGAATTGAATACTATCCTTTTGAAACTTCATCTTTATCTGGGTGGCTCTGAGAAAAGCATGTGCCTCCTTTGGTATTAGTCACATGAAGTAGGACATTCAGCTTTATCCACCAAGTCGTAACATCCATCTGGATCCTATGGATTGCTCTATACCAGCCAATGCAAAACATGTTTGCCCATTCTTCAAGGACTTGTGTTGACAGGTAGACCTGTAATTTCTATGACTAAGATATAGTTTCCATAGCCTCCTGTATCATAATAGATTTTGTGTTGGGTTAAATTTGCCTAAAAGTAGATCTCTTTTGTTCTTTGACTTTAAAGTAAAAGATAATGGAAAACAAGTAATAGTTCCTAATTAGATATTTAGGTCAGAGACCTTTTCAGAGTTAAAAATATTTGTTCTAAATGATAGTTCAAATATACTTTTCCAAAGACCTTTAATTGGCAGCTTTCACCCTCAAATATTGGTACTCATGTAGGAATTGTTTCTGGATTTTCTATTTAAAAAAAGAGTTTTAGGGGTACCTGGCTGACTCAGTCACTAGAGCATGGGATTCTGGATCTTTAGGTCATGAATTCAAGCCCCATGTTGGGTGTGGAGCCTACTTTAAAAAAAAAAAAGAGGGGGGGAGAGCTTTAATTGTTCAGTCTTGTTGTGCTCATGGCAGTTGGATATTTTTTTTTTTTATGATAGTCACACACAGAGAGAGAGAGAGAGAGAGAGAGGCAGAGACACAGGCAGAGGGAGAAGCAGGCTCCATGCACCGGGAGCCCGACGTGGGATTCGATCCCGGGTCTCCAGGATCGCACCCTGGGCCAAAGGCAGGCGCCAAACCACTGCGCCACCCAGGGATCCCCGGCAGTTGGATATTATATGTTAATGGAATGACTGTAGTTTTCCTAACATGCATATGAAGAAGAAAGAAAATTTTCCTTCAGATATCTTACTTGGATTTTAGTTAGTTGATATAAGACTGTTTTATTTTCCTTTTTAGGTTGCAAACATGTTAAAGGCATCCTGTTGTATGGGCCTCCAGGTTGTGGTAAGACTCTCTTGGCTCGACAGATTGGCAAGATGTTGAATGCAAGGGAGCCCAAAGTGGTCAATGGGCCAGAAATCCTTAACAAATATGTGGGAGAATCAGAGGCTAACATTCGTAAACTCTTTGCTGATGCTGAAGAGGAGCAAAGGAGGGTAATGTTAATATAATTTAGTAAAAGTTTGTTATCACTTATATGATGAATGAAACCCAAAGCTATGGGGGAAAACTTGTTATGTGATCCATAACAAGTTTTTGAAAAACATGCAGGTAAAATTTATTTAGTACTGAATTATATCACTGAACCAGGGATTATGGGGAGTTTACATGATGTGAGCAGATGCTCTTACCCACATGTAAAAGCCAAAGGTTTTGCAAAAGCAGATCATGAATTTATTTTCAAGTGCCACTTTTATTCCACTTTACTTTCAGAGACTTGAACTCATTTATCCTTTGGAAAAGGAGGAAATTAAATTCATAAAATGACTTATAGGATTATCTATATGTAAGGTTCATGTGCAGAAAGCTAGTTTATTTAGCACTGAGTCTCCTCAGTTGTAGAATGACAGGTGTGAGTTGTTAGGTCTCAAAGGTAAGTTTAATGTGGGTCTTAGAAAAAATTAATTAAAAGTCAAACCAGAGTTTACTAATTGTTATGGTTAATTTTATGTCAGTTTGATTGGGTCTCAGAGTGCCCACACATTTGGTTAAACATTATTCTAGGTGTGTTTGTGAGGATATTTCTGGGTGAGATTACCATTTGTATTGGTAGACTGAGTAAAGCAATTGCTCTCCCTAATATGGGTGGGCCCCATTCAATCAGTTGAAAGCCTGACTAGAACAAAAGGGCTGCTCCTCTCCTAAGAGGGAATATCCTACTGCCTGACTGCTTTTATCTGAGCCATCAGTATAATGCATTTCAGCATCAGTATATCAGCATTTCTCTGCCTTTATACTGATACTGAAACTTCAGCTCTTCCTGAGTCTCCAGCTTGCAAGTCTTTGGACTAGAACTATACCTTTGACTCTTTTGTGTCTCCAGCCTGCCAACTGCAGATCTGGAGACTTATCAACCCCCATAATTGCATCACCCAATTCCTTATAATTACTCTTTCTGTAGATAGATGTAGATCTCTATTTAGATCTATATAGATCTGTGTGTGTGTGTGTGTGTGTGTATGTATGTATGTATGTATGTATTTTCAGGTGACCAGTAGGATGGATCTATAGATCCATCTAATGATTATATTTCTCTAGAAAACCCTAATACACTAATATTAACAGATTTATTTCATTGACAATGTTTAAAAACATTGCCATAGGATTTCCTAGCAACACAGACTAGGTAACCTGAAAACTTGTCTTCTATAAACATCTTCAAATGCTGGGTAAAATATAACTAAAATCATATTAAATGCATAATTTAGTTCTCAGAAAAGAAAAGGACATCTTCAGAAATGAAAAAAACTCTGAAAATTAGAGTGGTAAAGATATGAGCTGCAGCTTTTGGTTTTGGTAATGTATGAGTTTGGGTTTTAGTATCCACTAGTAGGCAGAAAATAAGTCCTTTAACCTACTTAAGGTGTGAACTAGGAACTGAAACCTTCAAAGGGGTTGTGTCTTCAGTGAAAAGAATGGACTAGAAATTGCTCACCAGCACAAAGAAATAAAAACATTTAGCTGTCTGAGTTCTGCTGTGGGAGTTAAAGAATCTCTAATGGGAATTCTGAACTACAGATTCTTAACTCATGCTTAGGATTTGAAAACACACATGCATATCACCACTGCCATCACCACTGAGCTATGTGGTTTGGGGTCCCCATGCTGAGAAATTGATTTAAAAATGAATCCGGGACTAATGATAGTATGGGGTTGATAGATATAAGCAAACCCCTGGAGAGGAGGAAAATGGAGGCTCAGAAAAAAAGGTCCTAGTGTGTAGGGTCACTATTCCTCTGGAGATATTAGCCATTTCTGGGAGGAGCTGCTAAACAGCTATGCAGCCCTTTTAACAGGCCAGCAGGAGTAAGGGGGGAGAGTTTAAAAATCTGTGGCTTATGAAGAGAGGATACCTGATGAACATGCCTCAGTTTGAGCTGGGACTCTGGAGGGCTACACAATAGAAGCAGGGAAGTAGACATGCTGTCACAGAAGCTGCAGACCAGTTTTGAATAGAATTTCTTTTAAATATAAAATTTTCTTTAAAATTAGTTGAAGGTTTCTAAGTTACTAGTGTCCCTTGGCATCTAGCAGAATTGTAGATCCTTCCTGGAGAAAGGTAGTATCATGCAGGGCCACAAATTATTTCTGTAGTTTGCAGGTGAAATGCCTAGTTATAATCAAGAACAGTCAGGTATACAAAGACATAAAGAACTTGAAGAAAGAGAAACAAAAGGTGATCGAAATTGGACCTCCAGGCATTGGAATTCTCAGATACAGACCTTTAAAATAACTACACTTATCACATTCAAAGGGAAACAAGTTTAAGAATTTTGGCAGAGCACTGAAAACTATAAAAAAAAAAATCAAATGGGATTCTGGGAATGAGAAATTCAGCAACTGAAATTAAGTAGGTGGGTTAAAACAGCAGATTAGACACATCTGAAGAGAGAATTAGGGCACTGAAAGATGTTAGAAATAACAAGAGACAAAGGATGAAAGCAATGAAAAGTGATAGAAAATATAACGCAAATGATGGAAGCCAGAAATCAGTTAAATGCTATTTCTCAGAAGCTGAGAGAGAACTGTTCACTTAGAACTTTATATCCAGTGAATGGATAAATTGTCATGTAAATATATAATGAAGTATTACACAGTAATAAGAAATAAACAGACTATAGTTATACACAGTTGTGAATCTCACAAATAAATGTTGATCAAAAGAAACCAGACAAGAAAGAATACAGATTGTATGATTCCATTTATACAAGGTTCAACGAAAATATAGTGTTTGATGATATATGCTTAGGTGGTAAACTATAGAAATACAGTGAGAAGTAATTACCATAAAAAATCAGATTGGGGTTACCTATAAGTGTAGGGGGAATAATTGGGGGAGGAGAGAAATTGGGAATAGTTGTAAGGACATGCTCCCATAATGCTAACCCCATTCTATTTCTTGTTACATATATAATGTAACATTTTGTGATAGTTCCTTGAAACATGCATTCATATTTTGTGAACTTTCCCTCTCTGTATGCCATACTTTACAATAAAATGTTTAAAAGAAGTAAACTTAATAATCACTGTATAAGATGGCAATAATAGTCATCAATAAAGTTTTTTTTGAAGGATAGAACTAAAATATGAAAAAAGAACATGGGAAGTGAATTAAATTTTTATAAGATCTTCTTACCATTTGGGAAGAAGATAGTACTGTTAATTAACATCAAACTGTTAGTGAAATGTGTATGTGAAAATTGCACATAACTTTCACACTTTTCCAAAGCATGAGGAGGAGCTGGGAAAAGAATAAAGAAAATCCAAATACTTTAGAAGGCAAGACTCAAAATGTGAAGATATTGGAAATGTAACTTTAAAAAAAATTTAACTTACTTCAAGCCAAAATGATAAGGTACCTAGAATTAAATCTTAACAGGGAAATTAAAGGAAAAAATCATAAACATTTTTGAGACTCTTTTTTCAAGAACTAGTAATGATAAAAAATGTTTACATGTAAGAATACTGACAATATTATTAAGTGATACTAATTTATAAATTTATGCTTTTCCAGTCAAGTCTGGCAAGAATATTTTGGAATTTGACAACTTGGTGGGTTTTTTTTTGTTTTGTTTTGTTTTGTTTTGTTTTGTTTTGTTTTTTGGATACTTGAAGAGCTTTGAAAATTTTGGAAAATTATGAAGACTTATATATATATCATGATTGTATAATCTTGATATACATATCAAGAATATGTAATTGTGTCAGTTACTACTGGAAAGTTGTAGTAATCGAGACGGTTATATTTTCTTGCATAAACAGACCAAGGAAACAGAATAGAACACAGAAAGAACTTGCTATATGAAAAGTGATAATACAAATCAAAGGGGAAAGAATAATCCATGAATCAGGATGAGATCATCAGCTTTCTGTTTAGGTAAAGATAAAATACAGTCCTTATCATATCATACAGAATTGCAAAATGGATTTGCAAGAAATAAACTAACCAGAGTAAATGTTTTTAGAAGAAATCTAGGCCAAAAGCTTTAAGAATAAAGGCTAGAGAAGAATTTCTTTAAAAAAAAAAAAGGTTTTATTTATTTAGAGAGTATGTGCGCACACACGCAAGTGGGGAGAGAGGTAAAGGAAGAGGGACAGAGAGAGAAAGACTCTCAACCAGACTCTGCTGAGGAGAGAGCCCAACTTGGGGCTCAGTCTCACAACCCTCAGATTGTGACCTGAGCTGAAACCAAGAGTAGGCGGCTTAACCTACTGAGCCATCTAGGCTCCCCAAGAAGAATTTCTTTATTAAGATACAGAAATCAAATCCTTAAAATAAAAAACTGCTGGGACGCCTGGGACGCCTGGGTGGCTCAGTGGTTAAGTGTTGCCTTTGGCTCAGGGTGTGATCCTGGAGTTTCAGGATTGAGTTCCACATCGGGCTCCCTGCATGGAGCCTGTTTCTCTCTCTGCCTGTGTCTCTGCCTCTCTCGCTCTTTGTCTCTCATGAATAAATAAAATCTTAAAAAAACAACATTAATTTGGTTACATTAACATAATATGAAGAAAATTCCCTCTGACAAATTACACTAAATATAGATGTCTTGGGGCACCTGGGTGACTCAGTGGTTGGGCGTCTGCTTTCGGCTCAGGTTGTGATCCTGGGGTCCTGGGATCAAGTCCCGCAGGAGCTTGCTTCTCCCTCTGCCTATGTCTCTGCCTCTCTCTGTGTCTCTCACACGTAAATAAAATCTTTAAAAAAAGAAAAAGATGTCTCAAACTAGAGAGGATATTTACAATGCACATAATCCACAAAGAATTGATGTTTTATATATAAATTCTCTGTAGTAACTCTTTTATAATAAAGAAAAAGACAAACACCACAATTAAAAAAAAAAAAAAACTGGCAGGGGCACCTGAGTGGCTCAGTCAGTTGAGTGTCTGACTCTTGGTTTCGTCTCAGGTCATAATCTCAGGGTTGTGAGATCCAGCCCCA